CCCCCCACTTAGCCCCCTCTTACCTCCCCTTAACCCCCCCTTACCCCTCTCTTAGCCCCGCTCTTAAGCCCCCTCTTACCCTGCCCTCCCTTCCTTCCCTTTCACAAGCATCTGGGAGCACTGCTCCGTGCAGGCCAGACAAGGCATGCTTGCCTTGCTTTCAGGCATACGAATCTACTTTTATTTATTTTTTTCTCCCCTCTCCAGACCTTCCACTTTTTCAAGATCCGCAGCTCTTTTCCCACCTCTCTCTCTCTCTCTCTCTCTCTCTCTCTCTCTCTCTCTCTCTCTCTCTCTCTCTCTCTCTCTCTCTGCCACTTTACATCTCTTTCCAATGTTTATCTGTTGCACTCTCTCGTCTGCCCTCCCTGCTGCTCTCTGCCGCACACATAACTTAACATACGAAAAGAAAAGACGGAAATGGAAACACAGACACGGAGACGTAATACTTATGATACTTATGAAGGCATCAGCCATGGGTAGTCAAGTTATCTGATATTTTTGGAGGTTGTGAAAAAAGTCCAAAAACACATCGAAAAATCGGAAAATTTGGGAAAATTCATTTTGCACCTTCTGTTTTGATGGTCCACCTCTCCTAGGGCTCTGAGGCAGAGAACGATCACCTCTATCTTCCTGTTGTCCCCGCCCCCGCAATCTCCCTGTCTGTACTTGAAAAAAACAGGAAGAAATAATGAAACCTCCGCAGCTGGACGAGTCTACCCTTGTCACCAGAACTCTCGACATCACCCACGCATGGGAGACGCCGTGCGCATGTAGAGCGCCTCAAAACTCTAAAACGAAAACAAAGAAAAAAGCAAGAAACCAAAAATCTCAAGCCAAAGCCGTGAACACACACATGGAAGACAATGCCATCGTCGTCGCCATACACGTACCGAAAGGCAAAGCGAGCTGGGATGAAATTGAAAGCTTGAAGATGCGAATTTCAGTGCAGATGTCCATGATGTAAAGGCCACATGTCGCGGAAATCATCGAACTTCCGTCCACGCAGAGCATAATTCCACTCGTCGGTGATCGAAACATGCAAGAGTCAAAAGTTCTCGAAACGCTCAACACCATGAGGATTGTTGAATTGGCCCCTTCCCAGAAACGCTCAACACCATGAGGATTGTTGAATTGCCCCCTTCCCAGTGTGCATGTCCGTCAAGAGTGCACATGTCGCGGAAATCTTCGAGCGTACGTCCACGCAGAGCGTAATTCCATCATCGATTATCGAAAGACGGAAGATTCAAAAGTTTTGAAACCTTCAGAGCATAACACCGTGACGGTGTGACCCTTGATGAATTGCGCCCCCTTCCCCTCCCCTCGTTCAACATGACCGTCAACGGAAACCGGCACAGGCAAATGGAAAACCGTGCTCGCAGGATGCCAACCCAAGGCAATCGTTGTGAACAGAAACCAGAAAACTGTCCGCATGCACGCAGGGGCTGTCATGTATATAGTATATACCATCACCGTTGTTATCTAAAACTCTGAACGTGGATACATTCTGAAAATGGGTATACGTGCGCCCAAGTAAACCGCAATAAATAGTGTTGACATTGCCATGGAAACCCACCCTCCACCCTCTACCCTCTACCCTCTACCCTCCACCCTCCACCCTCTACCCTCCACCCTCTACCCTCCACCCTCTACCCTCTACCCTCCACCCTCCTCCCTCCGCTACCCTCCACCCTCCACCCTCCACCCTCCACCCTCCGAACACTCCGAACACGTATGCAAAGGATTTTTCAAGGCTAATGCTAGAGCATTTTTTTGGGGTAAAAGAACTCTCAACTGCCCCGAGGACGCGGAAGGCTGAACCCCAAACCCCCGCTGATGAGCAGGGATTGGGTGGCGGTCGTAACATATGTGCATATATGACAAGGCCCCTGAATCGACCTCATCCCTGAAACGTAGCCTTCCAATGGTCGTAAACCCTTTCTCTCTTCCTACCTTCTGAGAACGCAAATAACAAATTTGTATATCTATCGGTTTTCTAAATCCTAAATTCTTTTAGTTCTAACTTCCCTCTCCTATGGTAGCAGTTCAGATGATTGTCAGCGGAAATTATCGAAAACGTACGGCCGGAAAAAGCACATCTACAACAGCTGCACCTGCCTCGTAGGCTGATTTGTATACACAATATTACACATGTTTCTGCTAAATGCCAGTACATCGCCAATCCGGAAATTTTTCGGAGGCTTGAGGATCGAAAGCTAGCCAATCGGCCCAATCCGATCCGGAAATTTCAGAGGCTTGGGGCGCTACCGGACCAAAATGCCTGGGGGCGCGCCAGCCAGAAGAAAAGAAAAAGCGCCGTGCTGGCGTTTCAGCAGCAAAGCTTGGCGCACAGAGCGGCAGACTCCGTCAGAGGGAATCCGCCTCGGGAAAAAGAGAGGCTTGGATATACTGGTTTCAACCACCAGTTCATCCAAGTGACGCAGAGTAGGGTTCTTGCCGGTCGGTATACGCAGTAAGCGCGTTTCTGTTCGGGCCCGGGCTCGGGCCGGCGGTAAACGAGACAGTTGTGCCACTGAAAATGCGAAGTCGTAGGCTCGTGAGCCTTGGAAGATAGCTTCGTCGACTTAGGCCGGTGTGAACTGGTGGTTTAAGAAACAGATTACGAGTTCGAATCCCTATGGATTCGATACCGGCAGGGTCTATGCGATTCCGAAAGAACAGGCGAAGAGGGGAGAGAAATGAACTGAACAACTCAAAGAGAAAACATTTCGTAAACGCATGTGTTGTGTACTGAACAAACAGGAAAAGTACAGAGAAACTGCAGCGAAAGTACAGCGAAAGTACACAGAAAGTACAGGGAAGTACAGAGAAGTATGCAGACCGTATCTCTCAGCCTGCACTGTGAAATAATCCCATGCTCATTTGCAGGATGCGATGCTCTGATTGCTCATCATCCACCACCACTGGCGATCTCCGAGAGAGACAGGACCAGGTCCAGATGGATCAATCCCAGGTCCAGATGGGCCAATCTAGGTCCAGACGAAATATATCAGGTCCATTCAGAAGTTATATGCAGATCACATCTCCCGGCCGAATTGAAGGAATCAATTCTTTGTCGGATAGCACCAGGTCCAGATAAATAAATCCCGGGTACAAATGGAATAATCCAGGTTCAGAGGAATCAATCCAGGTCCAGAAGAAATATATCAAGTCCATTCAGAAGTTATGTGCAGATCATGTCTCGCTTATTAGCCTTCACTGAAGCAATCCCTCCTTTGTCGGATAGCATCAGGTTCACACTGATCAATCCCAGGTCCAGATGGTTCAATCCCATGTCCAGACGGAATAATCCAGGCTCAGAGGAATCAATCCAGGTCCACATAGATCAATCCAGGTCCATTCAGATCCTGGAAAGAGAAATCTCTCAGATCCATTCAGAACTATGCAGGTCATATCTCTCAGCCTGCATCAGGTTCACACTGATCAATCCCAGGTCCAGATGGATAGCACCAGGTCCACAAGGATCAATCCAGATCCACATGGATTAATCCAGGTCCACAAGAAATATAGCAGGTTCATTCAGAACTACGCAGATCATTATCTCGGCCTGGACTGAAGGAATCCTGATCCCCCCCTCTCCCCCCCCCCCCCCCCCCAAAAAAAAAAAAGAAGAAACAGAATCAACTCCGATCCACCAGTCAGGCAGGCAGCATCAACATCATCTTTGCGACCAGGTTCAGTTCTCTAACCAGATGGTTGAGATGGACCAGAGGAGGTCCAAGCAAGCTCCATCAGGTTCACAGTTGACTTGTGTGAAGTCAGAAAACAGGTGGGAGTGGACTTGGTACCAGGTTTGGGACCGCGTTGGGACCAGATTTGGGACTAGTCTTGGGACCGCGCTTGGGATCAGGCTTAGGGCCGGGTTAGGGACCGGGTTTCGGATCAGGTCCGGGAACGAGTCTGGTGGACAGGGTTCGGGATCAGGTATGGGACCGAGTTCGGGACTGGGTTTGGGAACAGGCTCAGATGGAATGAAGAAAACAGATGGGAGCAGGTACATAATGATTGAGACCAGGAGGTTTTAATGGACCTTGGCCGGCCACACGCTTAAGTGCATGGAACCTGGTCAACCAGGTTGATAATCGGTCCGGTTTGGAGATGATGACATGGATCATCAAGCAGAAGGCCGCACGCTCAACCATCAAGCAGATTAGGAAGTGCTCACACTCGTGGTTTTTGCACCGAACCTGCCCTTAATTCTAGTAATATACATCCAGGGACATGCTGGTGCGAGAGAAGGGTCAGGGCGTTCGGACCAGTTTCAAATGGATTGCAGAGAGAGCTTTCACGACAGCGTCCATGTCCGGTCGCTTCAGAGGAGATGACTGGACACACCGGAATGCGACACGCACCACATTGCTGATCGACGTCCACGTGGCGTCAGAGTGGTTGCCGTGACCGATCATTCGCATCAGGTCGGGGTCTATCACCTCTCTGAGCGCACAATGGACCGCAGTCTCCTCCTCCTCGTCCTCCTCCTGCTTCTGCTTCTGCTGCTGATGTTTTCCCTCTTCGTCTTCGTCTTCGTTGTCGTCGTCGTCATCATCCTGCACATCCTTTGGCTTATGCTCTTCCATCATAAGCCTGTTGCGCGAGAATCGCTCGCTGGAAAACGCCTCGACCAAGTAAGGGCCGATCCACTGAAGCAACGTGACAGTCACTTGCTGCCTTTCTCGTCCTTTCTGCCTTCTCTTCTTACCACTTCCTTCTCCCACCCTTCCTTCCCGGCTCTCTTCTGCATACCCCCCTTCATCATGTGCACCTCGCGGAGCGTTCACGCCATTCTCACTGAGAGAGGAGGAAGATGAAGAGGAGGACAAGCAGCAAGAAGAAACAGAAGAAGCTGAGGAAGACGACGGACAACTTACCGTGAATGCCGCCTCCTTGCCGGTAAGCAGTTCCAAAAGGATAACGCCGAAGGCGTACACATCACCGCGTGTCGTTTTCTGCCCGCTGGTCAAGTATTCGGGTGCCACGTAACCAGAGTTCTCCTTGAGGTAGGAGGTCTCCACCTCACTCTCCCATCCCTCTGTCAAGAAGCTGACAAGTTTTGTCAGGCCTGAGTCTGTCAGCATAGCCCACAACCGTCCAGAGACTTGGCTGATAAGGATGTTCTTGCTCTTCAGATTTGTGTGAATCACCGGAGGATGCATCTCCATGTGCAGATATCGCAATCCCTTGGCCACTTGCAAGCTGATAAGCAGACGGGTCGGCCAATCGAGAACTTCGTCTCCTCCTCCTCCTCCTCCTCCTCCTGCTGCTGCTGCTGTTGTTGCTCCTTGGCAGACAACTTGGCTTGATGCGGAAGAATGAGCAGGAGAGGAAAGAAGGTCCCCTCCTCTTCCTGCTGCTGCTACCGCATGAGCAAATACAGACTGAGACTGAGAAGGACATTGGAGAACTTCACCCTGCCTTACTCTTCCTCCTGCTCCAGCAGTTGTTTTGTGAGCATCTTTTGCTGGTGGATATGAAGCACGACGAAGAGGAGGACAAGGGCGAGTGCATCCCTCAGCTTCTGCTTCTGCTGCTGGACGATGTGTGAAAGCCACAGAGTAAGGATGACGAAGGGGAGGAGGAAAGTCTTCGCCATCTCCTCTTCCTCTTCCTCCTTCTCCTGCTACTCGTCCTGCTGCTGGCATTTGTGCCCAAGCTGAAGAACAAGGACGACGGAGAGAGGGAAGAGGAGGAGGAGGAGGAGGAGCCCTGCCGCCACCTCTACACCCTCGAGCAGCCTCTGCTGCTGCCGCTGGAACTCGTGCAGAAATCAATGAAAAAGGTCCGCGGAGAGTGGGAAGAGGGGGAGGGGGAGGGGGAGGCGGAGGAGGTGGAGGAAGGACATGCCTGGCTCCTCGTCCTCTTGCGGATTGTCCTGCTTCCTCTTGACCTTGTGCTGAAGATGAGCCCAATCTTGCGTGAGAAGCGCGAGGAGAAGGAGGACCGCCGTCCCTGCATTCTCTTCCTTGTCTTCCCGCTGCTGCTGGTGCTGCTGCTGGATGTCGGACTGAGGATGATGAACACGAACGAGGAGAGTGGCGACAAAAAGAGATGGTGCTGTGTGCATACTCGTCATTGCGGCCATGCTGGGCGTTGATCAGAGACAAGAGCCCAGAGCTATTCGAGGTATTCTCTTCTTGCACACCTCGCCTCCTCCCGTTATCCTCCTCCTCCTCCTCCTCCTCTCCATTCTCCTCAGAAGGCAACAAACGGCTGCATTTGTCAATGTTATGTGCAGCTGCATTTATATGGCACACATAGCCACAGGAGGAGGAGGAGGAGGAGTGGGAGTGGGAGTGGGAGTGGGAGTGGGAGTGGGAGTTGGAGTGGGAGTGGGAGGAGAAGGTGGGTGTAATGAGATCCTGACGATCATGACGTCGATGCAGCTTGTCAAACAGATTTCCACCCTCGACGAAGGGGTATATGATATGCCATTTGGACTCTTCGCGGCTGACACCATAGCCAATTATTCTGCAGAGGTTGAAGTGATGGAGCTTACTCTGCATAGCCATAGCTGCCAGGAACTGCCGATACTTGAACTCAGAGAACCTTCCCAGGACCTGCTTTATCGCTACCACTTGTTTGTGTGTCTCCATTCCCAATGTGCCCTTGAAAACGCTAACCTTAAACTGCTTCCCACTTGCCGCTTTACCAATTGCGTGCGACGTGGCAAAATTTGATGTAGCTCTTGCCAGCTCATCGACCGAGAACACTCGGATAGGAAACAAGTATCCATCGCAGCTGTGGCTGCAAGGGCCGCTGATAGAATTTCGAAAGGGGTGGACTACAAACGCGCCGCCGGCAGCAAGAGGGTCCGGGGTCAAGTTCGAGGAGAAAGAGAAGACGGGGCCATCGCCTTCCTCTTCCTCCTCCTCCTCCTCCTTCCGCACTGCCACTCTCTCCGAACTTCCCAAATTTTGCTCCCCCCTCCCAACCACAGATGGAATAAACTCTCTCACCGTGTGCGGTGTGTCAAAATGGTACGAGGAGGACGATGACGACGAAGAAATGCTCCCTTTGTCCCTCCCCAACAAGTTCTGTCCTCCTCTGCCCTCTTCCTCCTCCTCCTGCTGCTGCTCCTCCTCCCCCTCCTCCTCCTGATGCTGCTCCTCCTCCTCCTCCTCTGTCTTTTCGGCAATCTCTTCTCTCTCTTTCTCTCCCACTCCCTCCGCTGCTCTGTATGCCATCGTCTCGTTGTTTGACTGTGTGTCCCGATGCACAACCAACACGTCAGTATTATCCAGTCCCACTGTTTTCCTTGCCCGATGACGATGCCACTGATCAGCGCTGACCATCACTTCACCATCCTCATGCAGCCTGCTGCCAATCTGGTTGCCTTGCTGTTTGGGCGCAAGCAGGTCTGCCGAGGGAGGAGAAGCAGCTGCAAAGCCACTGCGTTCACTTGCCCTTCCCCTCCGTTGACCCTCAGCCACCGACAGTGCATTGCTAGCCGATGTACAGTCAGCTGACGCGTATCTGACGGTGTGTGTTTCCTTCACAGCATCAAGCCCCTCCATCACCGCTGAAGGGACAGAGGCTCTCTCACACAGACTCTCTCTCTCCCCCTCTCCCTGTCCCATTTGTGTGTCGACAGAAAGAGTGGGTGTGGGGCCCTGATCCTGATCTTGATCTTGATCATCAAAGTCTGGAGGAGATTCTTGCTCAGGCAGCAAAGAGGGAAAGGAGAAGAAAGAGGAAGTGGACTGCGACATGTGAGCTGCTGCTGTCGGATGAGAAGAGGATGGTAGATCCAGTGCAGCAGCCATCGTGGTGGTCACCACCATGTCTCTCTCCTCTTTCCCGGACATGGAGGTGCCGCCGAATGTGCCTGTCGGCCGCTCGCCGCCGTCACGCGTGACAACAGGAATGGTTAGTCCCCCAAGTGTGCGACGTCGATTGTCCCCTTCGTTGCCGTTGACCAGCAAGGAGAAGGTCGAAGATGGGGAGGAGAAGACAGGATGCCGAGCAATGCCACCATCCCCTCCCTTTCTCCTCCTCCGGCTGGCGATTCTGCTGGGGTAACTGGTCCTCTTCTCGGCCGGTCCCAGCGCACTGGTACCCTGAGCCCAGTCGCTGGCTTCTAGATCCCAGTTGTTGACGTCCAGATCCCAGTCGACGACCTGTGTCTCTCGCAGGACCGCATTCGAGTCCTCCACCATGCAGGAGATGTGAGGGGGAAGAAGACCCCCTGCTGTCGCACAAGGAGGGGTGGGGGCAACGACTCCGGAACGCGGCATTGAAGGACCGTCTTCGCTCTGCGCATCAACAATGACGTTGGCTGCTGAGGGACGATGAGCAGGTGAGCATTCCCTGGTCACCACCTGCGAGGTCCGGCGCATCATCGTTGGGCGGCGGCGCCGCTGTTGGGGTTCATCATACTCCTCCTCACCGGGCAACCTCCCGGCAGCAGCAGCACGCCGCCCGTGCCTCATTACCATGGTCATCGTAGCCCGGTGGCGGCGGGCGCTTGTACCGCCGCACTCTCCCTCCCCCGATCCCGACCCCGACGTCGATGACTGGCATCCGCGAGGTCGGGGAAGAGAGACGAGTTCTCCGCACCGGGGTCGGGGTCGGGATTGGGCCCTCCGGCTGTTGCGGCTGGATGAGGTCAATGGGAGTGCCACAGGTATGCGCTCGTCGTCACCAAACTCGACGGAGATGTCTTCACCCATCTCTTCTTCTTCTCCTCCTCCACCATCCACGCCTTTCTCTTCTTCTTCATCTCCCTCTTCCTCATCTTCCTCCTCCTCCTCTTGCGTGCCCAATTCCCCCCACGACATCTTTCTCCTGCGCACGGGCTCCTCTTTCTCCTTTCCCCGCCTCGTTCCTCCCCTCTCCTCCCTCTTCTTCGTTGTCTCGATATCGTGATGATCCCCCACTCCCTCCTCCTCCCCCTCTTGCCCCTCCTCATCCTCCTCTTCTTCTTCAGTAGGGCAATCTCCTATGAGCTGCTGCATCCTTCTGGAAGGAGGAGGATAACGACGGTGCGGACGAAGACCGGCAATGCCTCTGCTAACCGGTACCGCTAGGGAAGGGCGAGGACTAACAGCAGTTTGCCCAGCAGTTTGCCCTCCTCCTCCTCCTCCTCCTCCTCCCCCTCCTCCTCCTCCTCCTCCTCCTCCTGCTGCTGGTGAATCTCCTAGCGAGAGGCCATAGTACTCCTGAGTTGTAAACGATACTCTCCCTCTCCACCACCTCTGTTTCTCCTCCTCCTCCTCCTCCTCCTCCTCCCCTGACACGTGTTCATCATGCCGCCGTCTACCTTCTGCCATAGTTTCGTGCAGCGCAACGCCCCGCAGTGTGTCTGAATCTCCTTTGACATGGACGGGATCCCGACCATACAACTCATCGCCATGGCTTCCCTGCCCCCGCTTCGCGTCCCTCCTCCTCCCTATCGTCTTCTCCTCCCTGCAATGCGCTTGCCATCCACAAGATCCACCTCTCTCTCCTCCTCCTCCTACTCCTGCTGTCAGGCTCAACCACCGGCGATTCTCGTCAGCAGGTTCTTGATAACAAGCCGGGATAGCAGAAGATGTCCGTACAGGAGAATAAACTTCCGCACCAAGGTGATTACCTTGAGATACCTGGCTGTGTTCATATCCGATTTGAGTCGGGATAGCAGAAGATGTCCGTACAGGGTAGGAGAGCAGAGACCTGCCAATCCTCCTCCCTCCCCTTTCTCCCCCATCTTCGACCATCTTCCACTCCGCCCTCTTCTTCCCGATCGCGTGCGCGCTGACATGGAGGCTACTAGGAGCATACCGACGGCCTTTGTGAGAGGGAGGAGGAGGTCCAGACCGCTCCTCTCCCACTTCTCCCTTTTTACCACCAGAACCCTCACAGCACGAAACCACCTCCCTCCCCATCAACACGGCCACCGACCTCCTGTTGAAACAGGACACAGCCTTCTCCTTCTGCCTAGTCAACGAGAGATCCGATATAACCCCAGCTGCGTCAGGCACGGCGGTTCTTACAGCCATCGACACCATCGCTGAGGAGGAGTTGTTGGGTGAGTCTCTTAGCACTTCACAGCGAAGGGAGGAAGAGGTGGTCTCTCCTCCTCCTCCTCCTTCCTCTTCTCCCCCTCCTCGTCCTCCTTCCTCTTCTCCCCCTCCTCCCCCTCCTCCTCTTCCTCCTCCTCCTCCTCCTCCTCCTCCTGCTGCTGCTGCTAGTGCTGTTCGTTGTCGTGTCACTTCGGACGACGGGGTCAGTCGAGATCGACGGGGGGGTGCAGATCCTCCATGATGCGCACCAAACCCATTAACACCGGGAATTCCCACGTCAGTGGCGACGGCCATGCCTCCCACGTGGCGCGCAGCAGCAGCAGCAGGGCCAGCACCGTAGTAGTGGTTGTCCATAATGATTCTCCTTCCCTCCCCCCCCACCCATGGCTCCTCCTCGTCGCCCCCTCCCTCCCCCTCCCTCCCCCCATCCAGCCTTCGAAGCTCTCTCTCTCTCCTCCTCTCCTCCTCCTCTTCGTCCTCCTCCACCTTATTCCGCCATCGCTTCCTCACGTAGCAGCCTATCCAGACGCACCCTGCCATTGCAAGCACCCCGATCCCGGCCAGCAACCCAATCAACGCAGCGATCACCAAGAAGCCCGCGCTGTTTCTCTGCCAGATTGCACCACCTCCCGCCTTCCTGCAGTCCTCTTCACTCGCACCCGCTTCCGCCACCCTCCTCCCATTAGCCGCCGCTGCCGCCTGGCTGCCATCCATGGAAATGCCGGTGGTGGCAAGATGAGTGGTATTCAACGACAGCTTGTAGATCTCCCCGTTGGTGTTCGCAACGAAGAGCGACCGGTCGTCCGCCGTGATCGCCAGGCTAATTAGCCCGTACTGATCGGTCGCCAGCGTGGTCACCTGGACGACCGCGCCCCCCGGCGAGTCCAGCACCACCCGGCGCAGTCGGCGACCGCCGAACTCGGTCACGAAGAGATTGCGCTCGTCGGACGAGAGCGCGACACGTGTCGGCTCCGTAAAGCGCGCCGTCATCGTCGTCGGGACCTCGTTTTGCCCCCCCCCCTCTCTCTCTCTCGCTCCCCCCACTCGAACCCCCCCGCCAATCAACGTCAACGTCGCACCCGTTGATACGTTTAGTCGCCGGATGCAATGATTGAACCAATCAGCTACATAAAGCAAAGAGGACGAGCTCCCCTCTCCTCCTCCTCCTCCTCCTCCTCCTCTTGGTGCACAAGACGGAGCGGGACCGATAACAGGAGTGCGGAAGCGCGCCAAGTCGCCGCGATCGGCATCGACGAACCCGGTCCCGTCATCAACGCCAGTCCCGATCCCGTCATCAACACCGGCTCGACCGATCGGAGACCCGGCGACGAGTCTGATTGCCTTGCTGGAAAGATCTACGGCCACGATCTGCTGCCACGTGGACACGTACAGCACCCCCCTGGCTTCGTCCAGTACCACGCCGTTCGGATAAGGCACATTCTCCACGAAAGCTGACGTGGATCCATCCACTGTGCTCACGACACGTGTCATGTTGCTCCCCCAGTCCGCCACAAACAAGGCCAATCCGTCGCCGGACAAAGCCATTCCCATAGGAAATCGCAAACGAGCTGAAGAAGGAGGAGGCGGAGGAGGGTCGTCACTGCCGGGACCGCCGCCGCTGCTGGTGCTGGTGCTGGTATTGATGCCGGTGCTGCTGGCCTCAGCGATCCCAATGCCGGAGGGGTCTGCCGACGACGAGGAAGAAGAGGAAGAAGAAGAAGAAGAAGAAGAAGAAGAAGAAGAAGAAGAAGAAGAACTTGCCAGGACGAAGGGCTGGTCGCGGTCCCCATCCCGATCGCGGCTCGGAGAGGAAGAGTCGATCAGCAGGGGGATGCGGAGGATGATTGAGACGTTGGGAGAGATCTCGCTGGCGAAGAGATACCGCCCGTCGATCGAGAGCTGGAGGCCCCACGCGCCTCTGTACGCTTCGCCCGCCTTCTTCCGCGACTGGATCAGCAATGACCGGTCCGTGATCAGAGTCTTGTCGACGACCGACAGAGTGTCGTTCGATGGTAATACCGACGAGGACCCCTTGGAAGCGCCGGCGGAGGCCATTGAATCGGCACCGGGATCGGGATCTGCAACAGCAGCAGCAGCAGCAGCAGCAGCAGAAGGAGGAGGAGAAGAAGAAGACGACGACGAAGAAGAAGAAAAAGGTATTTGCACCGGGATCGCGCCCGTTGAACGAGAAGCTGCTGCTGCTGCGTTCGTGGTGCGATCGGCATCCGGACCGGAGGACAGAGAGAAAGGAGTCGGAGACTGCAAAGGTAGATAGCTCTGCCGGTCGTTCAGCGTTCTTCTCGTTCCGGCGATGATGGCATCGAGGGAAGGGGCAGGAGGAGGGGGAGGGGGAGGGGGAGGTGGGAGTAGATGACCATCCTCCTCCAGGTAACGGCGCTTACTTCTCGTCCGAATAACGCTGCCGTTGACGAGGGGAGGAGGAGGAGGAGGAGGAGGAGGAGGACGAGGGTGGTTCGAAGGGGAAGGTGGTTCAGCAGATCGTTGATTGGAATTAAGGGGCGATAGAGGCGTGGGTCTCGGGCTCTTCTTCGCTGCCGCGGCATTGCCACCGGTGCTGTCGGGATCTCTCATCGTCCAATGTATGGCTGCCACGTCAGACCGTCCCCTCTCCACCACCATCGACGACGACATGAGAAGCTCAGTAGAAGACAAGCAGAAGAAGAGTAAGATGGATACAAAAACGGCGCGCAGCGATTTCAGGAACTGACAATGCAACGGCACAAAGATTAACGAGGAGATCGGGACCGGCCATCCCGACCGAGGTCGGGATCGCCACCGCCCGACCATCGTGGCGCCGACCCACCGGGACGAGACCAAGGATGCCGACCTCTTACGCCTCTCTCTCTCTCTCTCGCTCGCTCTCTCTCTCTCTCTGTGTGCGTGTTGCTAACCCACTCCCCCCCAAGCCCCGCTCCCCGCTCAGCCTCTCTGTATAGCCCCCCAATCAATCAATGATCAAAGGCAGCCACGAGCCACGTCCCATTGATTAATTAGTATAGGTCGTCCCGCGCTAATCAACAGAACGCACTATATTAATTAAGCAAAGGCAGCTACGAAACATTCAATCCATTCATTAATCCATCCATTCATCCATCCATTAACCCATCCATCAGCGTTACGCTAATTAATCAAAATTCAGCGAAGTGATCATTGATCGAAGCATCAACCACAGATCCATCTCTTCTTCTTTGTGAGAATGTAGCCTATCACTGTGTCTGTGCCAGCGATTTAGTCCATTAATCCGTCGGGGATTCGTACCGTAGTTACGTAATCAATCATCCCTGACTGATTGGTTTACGGATTAATCATCACTGCCAGAGAGAGGCGAGGTGGTTTCCAGAGAGACTCTCTGCAAAACACAGTAAACAAAAAAAAAAAAAAAAAAAAGTCTGAATCTCCTCCCCCCCCCCTTCTCCATGAGAACGGAAGAAAAAAGGCCTTGACTGCCATGGATGACAGCGATTTAAAATCTGCTCGTGCCTCATCTTTCAATCAACCAATCAATCAATCAATATATCAATTAATCAATCAATATATCAATTAATCAATCAATCAAGATATCGATCAATCAATACATCAATCGATCAATCAATCAATCAAAATGTCAATTAATCAATCAAGATAATCGATCAATCAATCAATCAAGATATCGATCAATCAATATATCAATCAATCAAGATATCAATCAATCAATCAAGATATCGATCAATCAATCAAGATATCGATCAATCAATCAATCAAGATATCGATCAATCAATTAAGATATCAATCAATCAAGATATCAGGAATCGATCAATCAATCAATCAAGATATTGATCAATCAATCAATCAATCAAGATATCGATCAATCAATCAATCAATCAATCAATCAATCAATCAATCAAGTTATCGATCAATCAATCAATCAATCAAGATAGCGATCAATCAATCAATCAAGATATCGATCAACCAATCAATCAATCAAGATATCGATCAATCAATCAAGATATCGATCAATCCATTAAGATATCAATCAATCAAGATATCAGGAAGTTGATCCGCCAGCTCTGATAGACGCCTTTTTCTTTACCTCGTCGGGATCGAAAGATTCATCAGCAGAGGAGTATTCGCGGACGTGACACAGGAGGAGAAGTCTCTCCCTCTAGAAGGTGCTCAAACTACCGTCTTCCCCTGAGCATAACGCACCCTGATTATGAATGAATGCAAGCTACCTTTCGGGTTCCATGCAGGCAAATTGAGGGTGCATTGTGTTCGGGGGAAGCCGGTAGACGAAGATTAGAAGCTTCAGGTGAAAGTGATCATCGGTCCGTTGATGAACCGAACGTCGATCGGTTCGTTGATTGACCGAAAGCGGATGGGCTCGTTGATTGATTGTCGTTGATTAATCAAACCGCCGATCGAATTGACGTATCGCGATCTGTCCCGACCTTCTGAGATTGGTCGATCAGAAATCTTACACTCTTCAGGATCGATCTCTCAATCGGCGATCGGATCGATCCGATCAAGTCGCCCGATCAATTAACTTTCTCTTTGATCAATCAACCAATCAATCAATCAATCAATCAATCAATGCACTGGCAAGACCACTTTGTTGATCACAAAAAGAAAAGAAAAAAATTCGAGCTAATCAGCGCGCATCGGTCAATCAAGTCAATCAAGCAGGCACAGATAAAGAAAAAAAAAAACAAAATTAAAGAAAGTTCGACCGTCAGCCGTACTGCATATTAGATAAGATTGGGTAGAAGATCGGTAGAAGATCGAACGGGGAGGATTCGACCAATCGAAGGACTGGCGCTGGGTCAATTGAAGTTTGTCGATGAATCGGGGGGGGGGGGGGAAATCGATGATCTCTCTGTCATTGGCGCTCTACCGCCAATATTCGATCGAACGGTCAAGCCACCGATCAAATCAAGCGGCCAATCCACAAACCAATCGACCAATCACATCAAACGACCGATCAAATCAAATCAATCCAGCGATCAAATCGGACGGCCAATTCAATCCAGCGATCAAATCGGACGGCCAATTCAATCAATCAAGCGATCAAATCGACGACCGATCCAATCAAAACGTCCGATCAAATCGGAAGACCGATCTAATCAATCCAACGATCCAATCAAATTAATCCAGCGATCAAATCGGACGGCCAATTCAATCAATCAAGAGATCAAATCGACGACCGAAAAATCAAAACGTCCGATCAAATCGGAAGACCGATCTAATCAAGCGACCAATCAAATCAAGCGACCGATCCAATCAAGCGTCCGATGCAATCAATCAATCAAACGATCAAAACAAACAACCGATCCAATCAAGCGACCAATCAAATCAAGAGATCGATCCAATCAAGCGATCAATCAAATCAAGAGACCGATCCAATCAAGCGACAGATCCAATCAAGTCACCAAGCAAGCGAACGCTCCAGCGACAATCAATCAATCAAGCCCGTCTAATCAGCGCATCAAACGCAAATCAATCAAACTGAACGATCTGATCAAGTCACCACCGAACGCTTACGCGACAATCAATCAAGTCCAATCAATCAATCAACTCCAATCAATCAAGCTCATCTACTCTGCGCACCCAATCAAGCGGCAGCCACGCAACCTATCACAGCTCTTGGGGTCAGTCACTCAAAGAGTCGCTGATTCCTAGCACGCGCTGCTCAGAGTACATATGGCTATAAAAGAATTGAGTGAATATGCCCTAAAGAAAATGAGAGATGACAGTAAGGGGAAGCAGTAGTATTTGCACTAATTAAAATATTATTAGAAAAATTACTCCTATTGATTGAATTAACCTAATTTACCTCATCTGTATGTGCTGTTCGATAAATAAAAATTGACTTTTAGTAATATTATTATATTTATCTATTTATTGTACAAAATTCCGAAAATAGTAGATGACTCGATCCGATTCATTTAGCGAGAGACAATCTGATCTAAAATTAGGCACGGTGAAACTTCCTGATTTTTTTAACCCAAAAAAAAAAAAAAAAAAGGCACGGTGGAGAGTCGACCAATTAAATTTCTCTCTCTCTAGTATTAAGGCTAGATTACTAATTAATAAATAAATTAGTACTCAACGTAATTACTCAAAAATTAATAATTGATTTTTTTTAAGCCGGGGATTGCTAATCGAATGGATGGCGTGCAATCACGGAAGGTCTGGAAAAAAAAAWAAAAATTGCAAAAAAAAAAAAAAAAGCAGAAAAAACATGCATGGTCTATTTTTATTGCCCGTTTACAGTTCGTTGTATTTCCACAGCATTGCAGATTTATTTTTTTTCCTCATTATAGCGACGAAAATATTATCCGTACCGGTCAGTCACTTGCCGTTTTTTTTTTTGGCCATTTTTCCTTTCTTTTATTCTCAGTTTTTTTATTTACTTGACTTTTTTATTTATTTACTAATCTTATTTACTATTTCCCAGCAGAATTCAAAATGTATTTGTTAGCTCGCATTCATGGTATTTTTCTCGTCGCGTTTTTTTTCTTTTTTTTAAGAAGGAAATAATTAACTAGACCGTGTTCAAATATTTTTTCGCTTTTTTTTGGCAGTTCAAGGTCAGCACTGGATTTCGAACAGCGAATTAATTTTTTAAAATACTAATTTTATTTATTTATTTGCCTCGGTGTCAGAAGTTCTCTCTCTTCTGACTGTTGTGCGCGCACGCACATTTTTTCTTTTTTTTTTAATAATTTAACCGAATAACATTTTTCCGAAAACGTTCAAAAATAACTCCTTCGCTGTAAAACGGCTATCCCTCAACAGTTCAAAAACGGCTATCCCTCAACAGTTCAAAAAACGTTTCTTGTCTACTCAGTTCAAAAAACGTTTCTTGTCTACTTTTTTTTTCGCCCCCCCCCTTATTTTTCTAATTCGGAATTTAAAAGAAAGGGGGAAAAAAAGAAAAGACTCTTTCCCTCTCTCTCCTCCTCTCCCTAGTAAAATCGCATAATTCTTTTTTTTTGTAAGGCTAAAATCGCATAATCGGGCAACTCACAAAACACTGCCCCGCAACTAACAAAACAAAAAAAAACCGGAAAAATATTTACTCTGCACCTCTTTTCGGACCTGCTCTACGGACACGACAGAAAATCGATTAAAAAAAAAAAAAACGGAAAAATTATGTATTCTGCACCTCTTCTCGGACCTGCTCTAGGAAAACGACAAAAGATCGATAAAAAAAAAAAAAAACAGAAAAATATGTAATCTGCACCTCTTCTCACACCTGTTCTAGGAAATCGACAGAAACTCGATTAAAAAAAAAAAAAAAAACCGAAAAAATATATACTCTGCACCTCTTCTCGAACCTGCTCTAGGAAAACGACAGACATTTGATTACCTCGGATGTACCTCGGTTCTATCTGCTGACGTGGCGCAACGGTTGGTGGGAAAAGAGATTACGACGCCCACAGATTGGCGGGAAAAGAAAAAAAAAGCGGGAAAATATCGCGTACGCCCCCCCGATGAAAACGCACTAACAAAAAAAAAAAAAAAAAGCGCCGACGAGTGTCGCAGAATCCGAAATTTTGAATTTTCAGCTTCAATTACTGTTATATTATTTCAGACTGATAGAAAAATCCGAAAAATCAATCAATGGATTATAATGAATAAAAAAATCCAAAATTCCTTACCACAATGTATTTTATGTTATTTTAATACTCTCGCTTTTTTTTTTGTCTCACCTGTCCTTTTTAATCTCAGAGTTACCTCAGTTTAACTCTTTCATTACTCCCTATATTTTTTTATTTTTATTTTTTTTCGAAATATAATATTATTTCATTACTTTGATGAATAATATGTATTTTTCTGACCCTTCGCTGTCATACTCACCGTGAATCGTCTCCTCTCCCGATCCCGACCGACTCTTCCCTCCGCTCACAAGGTACGATTTCTTGTACATTTGTTTTTTCCTTTTTTTCTTTTTTTTACTTTTTTAACCCGACGTCCATCGGACGGCCGTCCTCTGTTTTCTTATTCCTATTTTCTTTGACGGACCGATTTTTTTTTTTTTTAACTCCATCGGAAAAAAAAGAGGGGGGGGAAACAAAAAAACGCAATGGTTAGACAGACCAAGAGATCTGCTTCGCGGAATCAGTTTTTTATTTGCAATTTTTGTAATTTTTCGCAAAATTTCTCTCCTTTTTTCCGTTTTTCAGAATTTTACTCTAAGTATATATTTTAATTTTCTATTTTTTTATGTTATTAAAAAATATCCAAACGTAAGAGCACATGCATCAGAGTGCCATCGAGCAGTAGGTGCCGTTTTCGAAAAACAAAAAATATTTTTATACATATATATTTTTTTAATGACAACCTGATTTTCAGTTTTAAAAAAAAGACCTGCAAATATTTCAGTGACTAATCTTCTTAAACTCTATTATTTATTTTTGCTCTTTCATAAGAATATTTAAACCAAAAAAATCACATTTATGATTTATCTAAAAAAAATACACATCATATGATCAACATATTATCTAAACATATGACAGATTTAAGTGTAAAAAAAAAAAAAAATCAAAATCAAACAAGTATGATGCGAGCGACGTGCGGCCACGAATGGAAAGGGGGAAACAAAAGAAAGAAGGGGAAATTATAGAGAGGAGCTCAAAAAAAAAAAAAAAAGAAGGGTCGCATGGAGGTGGGGGTAAGGAAGCCGGCGGGTGGGGTCTGGAGAGCAATGAATTAAAAAATTAAATAAATTAATTTAATATCTAAAGAAAAAGGGACACCCTTACACCGTAGACTCCTCTTTCTAATCGACGATCGGTGTCAAACGGCGTCCACATTCGCTCATCAAAAAAATCAAAACACATATTAAAAGGGGGAAAAAAAAAGAAAAAAAGGCATCGGAAATACAGAAGTCGCAATTTATTCAAAAAAACACAGAAAAAAAGAAAAGAAAAAGAAAACGCAATGGAAACACAGAAGTCGCAATCTATTCCAAAAACACAGAGGGGGAAGAAAAAAAAAAAAAAAAAAACACGCATCTGAAACAAAAAAGTCGCAATCTACGAGTGGACGAAGGTGCTGCCGAACTCTCTCTCTCTCTCTCTCTCTCTCTCTCTCTCTCTCTCTCTCTCTCTCTCTCTCTCTCTCTCTCTCGCCGTGAACCAAAATCCGGCCTGCGCGGGGGTGTGAAGCTAAGGGCCCCCGTTGGGATAATCTTACCGGTATAATCCCCCAGTCAGGTACAAAGAGCCAATGTGGCAGTCCCGATCAGGCGGAACCGCAATCCCGACCTCGATCTCCGATCTCTTCCATCTCCCGCTCCCAATCGAGATCAGGTGATATCAATCTCGATCTGTACCTCGCGGTCGCGATCCCGAGGGACACCTGCTGTTCCCGACCTCCTTACCGGTGTTGACTTCGTTGTCGATCCCGATCTCGGAGTCGATCCCGATCCCCACCCATCTGCTCCCCGGTCATGCTCTCTCTCTCTCGATTGCCTTCACCCCGCCCAATCAGCTCCTGATCTCCATCCCTCTTCCGGTCCCGATCTCGGCCATTCTCTGGCTATTCGGTAAGTAAATCTCTCTCTCTCTCTCTCTCTCTCTCTCTCTCTCTCTCTCTCTCTCTCTCTCCCCTTCTCTCTCTCTCTCCCTCTCACTCTCCTCTCTCTGTGTCGAGCTTTGAGCGCCTGCTAATTAATATCCGTTCTTCGGTGACAACAGTTGAAATCCATCATCTGCCACATCAGCATCACAGGTGGTTTACCAGTGGCGCGCTGATCTTTGCCACGTGGCACGCCATCCATCTTCCGCAATTCAAGCATTCTGTTGTGACACGTGGCGCCCTTCGGATGATTGCTGCGCAATGCCACGTGGTGGCTTTAGTATGTATCTGACCGCATTTATGACCACATTAGCCACACACAAGCGACATCAGGTAAACATGCCACGTGGCGCCTTTAGAATGCATCTGACGAGGAGTATGAACAAATTCGCTCTGCCACGTTGACGTCATCGATCATCCAGTCCAGACACTGCCACGTGCAGATCGCAGAGCAATCCACCATATCCGGTCATCGGCCGGAAAAATCGGCGCGCAGTGAGTGCAAGGAGTCAAGCCGAGCCGAGAGCTGCTTCACACAAGCGGAAGTCGCGGCGGGTCGCTGCGCTGCGCGCCAAGCTGTGACCGACCGGTTTTCACAAGCGGAAACCGCGGCGGAAGTAGCGGCAGTACGGATCATAGAAGACCACATTTTCCCAAAAAAAAAAAAAAAAAAAAGACCACACTACAACTGCGGGCGTTGCCGCACGGCACACAAAACGAAAAACGAAACGAATGTATCTTCCCCCAGAAAATGGCCAGGTTCGTCGGATTGCTATAAATAGTAACGAGTGTATTTTGCCACCTTTCGTGGGCAGATGCACTCGTTTCGTTTTCGTTTCGTGTGCCGTGCGGCGAGAGCCTGCGACTACCACCGAAACCTTCCTCTTGAAAAAAAAAAAAAAAAACCTTCCTCGAGCGAACTTGGTCATAATTTCGGTTCGATACATACCGGAAGGTCCATGCGCTGTACTTTCTGGTACCGAAAATCTCGGAAAATGCGGCGCGCAATTTTTTTTTTTTTGCTTTTTTTCTGGTTTTGTTTTTTGCTGCAAACGTCAAACCGATGGGGATGGTCCTTCGGGACATCCGTTAAAATTGGAGCGATACAGAGAAGGGTAAATTAGCAAACTGCCCCTGCGCAAGGATGACACGCATAAATCAAACCGATGGGGATGTAGGGAAAAAAAAAAAAAAAAAAAAGAATGGGCCTCGCCACACCACCGTTGAAACGAAAACATAACGAATTCATCTTCCCGCAGACAATGGCAAGATGCATCCGTTACTATGAATAGCAACGGATGCATCTGACTACTTTCTGCGGAAGATGCATTCGTTATTTTTTTTTCGTTTCGACGGTGGTGGCGTGCGAGGCCCAATATGGCCCAGCGAGGGGCCTCGCTCCACCACTCTCAAGATGTGCAAACCGAGAGTGAATCTTCCCCTAGAACATGGAAAGATACATCGCCGTGATTTTCGTGCATGTCGAAAAGTAGAAGCGACGCTCGAGGTGTGAGATGGTTCCGAAGATTTTGCACCACTCTGCCATTCGCCATCATCTTGAATGCATCTGGACAGCGTTCCTGTACAGATGCATTCAAAATTATGGCGGAGGCGCGCGGAAGCCGTTGAGCAGGATAGACGTGAACGTAAACGGCGCCTCTTTCCTTGCCTATATTCTATTTTAAGAAATTTCTACTTCAAGAATTTTTCCTAATTTAAGAAACTGCCACGCCTAAGCCCGTACTTCGCCATAACACAACGGATTTTTTTTATTTTTATTTTTTTTGGGAAATAGCAAGGAATGAACGGAGAAATTTGAGATTTTTTTTTTGTGCTGTTTTTTTTTGTTTTTTTGTGAACAGATCTGTTTTTTTTTTGTTTTTTTTTTTTCGGTTCTTCCATCCTCTAGCATTGCAGGCCTCTAGATCTTCTCTCAGCCCTGCTTAGGAGACGCGCTGCTCGCCCAACCAGCGAGGTCTGGTGGCACCTGGCTCGACGCGTTCTCCCTTGGGAAGCAGGGCCTATACTCGCGCCCGACACGTGGCAGTGAGTGTCGTGGAAGGCGAGGCTGGTCGGACGGATGACGATGCGTGTATAGGGGATGTGCTGGCTAAACTGTTGATTTTGATTAGCGGCGCGATGGACTCAGCGGGGCTAATACAACACGATAACGAAGGGGAGCTGCAACGTGAAGCGGAAGAATGGCTGATCATCTTGGAGAGAGGATGCAGGCGCCTACAGGAGCTTGTTGAGGAATTGTCTGAGCGGTCAAATGAAGAGCCAGGGATCGACGGGGGGGCGATCTCACTGGCGGGCTGGCTGAACGACACAGCCGAAGACATCCTGGAGGTTATGTGGGAGCTGGAGGTGGGGCCGGATCCCCAGCTCGACGCATACATCGATTGACGGCGGGCGGATAGCATGATGAATACATGTACGGCTCTTTGTGCAAAGGGTCGTGATCTGCGCTTTCTGCTGGGAGATCGGCTTGCATCCGTTGAAATAATAATACCAACAATTGTATCTACAACGCTGCTTTCCACATCAGAAGCAGCGGCGACATCAACACTGGCGATATCAACGACAACATCATGCGATCAACTGGAGGAGCGGCGGAGAGGTGGCGAGAGGGATGCGATGGCGACAACGACGACAAGGACGACGGCTTGAAGGGAAGCTCCGAGGACAACAACGACAATAACAACAACAGCGACAATGACAACAACAACAACAGTGACAACGACAACAATGATAACAACAGCAACAACAACAACAACAACGACGATGGTAACAACAACGACGATAGAGACGACAACAACAACAACGACAACATGAACAACAACAACAACAACAACAACAACAAGAAGCAGTCCCAGAATACCAAACACATTGTTCATGGTCTCAAAGGGATTGACAACAACAAAGATGCTGTTGGGAGCGGTGGAGATGCTGATAATAACAGCACAAATAATATTGATGATAACGATAACGACGGCTATGGCTGGGATGATATGGATGATATGATGACTAATCGGGGTTGTAGTGGAATGATCGGTGTTGTTAGTTGGCAGCGGAGGGGCGTGGGTTAGTTGGTGGTGAATGGTCTTGCCCGGCCTGCAATTCCAATCAGGATGGGAGGTGGTTAGTTTAGGTTTTCCTGACATCGCAGTTGTGTGTCTAAGGATAACGTACGGACTGGAAGAGCAGTTAATCCCCTCTTAGGAGGGCAATCAATGTTGCTTTTCACTATACATCTGATTAGATCGAGTACATACTCCATCAATCACCAGAAATTACGAATGTATAATCAAATGATTTCATGTTTAGGGACGCTGGACCCATTTTCCAGCAGGCGTCGCTCCCCACCAATAGATGGAGCCCTCCCGACGGCGCTAGCGGTATTTTGCTTTTATCAGCACCCCTAGTGACTGTTCGGGCTGTTTCTCTTAAAAAAAAAAAAAAAAAAAAAAACTTTTTTTTTTTTTTTTTTTTAAGACTAGTCTGGCAGGCCTGTGTTAAAATAAAAAAAAATAAAAAAATCACGTAACCGGGGGCGAGGTCCCACTTGCACGGATTACGAGATTCTGACGGTTGATCTGTGCTATCTACGGTCAATCTCTCTTAATCCGTGCAAGTGGGACGTAGCCCCGGGTTGAGATGTGGAGGGATTCCCGACCTCCCTTTGCCTTATAATGAAATCATGCTGCTTGCCCAACTCAGTGGGCGTACTATTCTTTCGCCTTTTACTAAAGAATACCGTGGGCTGAGTAAGAATAGTACACCCACTGAGCTGGGCAAGCAACATGATTTCATTATAAGGCAAAGGGAGGTCGGGAATCCCTCCACATCTCAACCCGGGGCTAGGTCCCACTTGCACGGATTAAGAGGTACTGACCATAGATAGCAAAGATCAACGGCCGAAATCTCCTAATCCGTGCAAGTGGGACCTCTCCCCCGGAAAAGAGGTCCAAAACCTCTGAGAGGCAAACTGGAAACCGGGGGCAAGGTCCCACTTGATCGGATTAGGAGATTTCGACCGTTGATCTTTGCTATCTACGGTCAGTACCTCTTAATTCGGGCAAGTGGGACCTAGCCCCGAGTCCAGTGTCCCATACTCCTACCAATAAACATGCTATTTCTGAAGAAGGAAGAAAATGGACAATTTGGGAACAGTCAAAAGGAAAGAAATCAGGGGAGGGGACAGGACGGCGGTGGCTCGATTTGCGCTATAACTTAGCGGAGCTAAGTTTCAACGCTAATCGACTTTTAGGGGCGCTAAACCTAATTAGCGCGGGCCTTCACATTGTTCGTATAAGGGATCGTTGTATGGTTGTACAGTTAGCCTATCATATGAAGCTCCTTCTCGCACCATCCTGGGATGGTGTTCATCCGCGAGTAGCGGGTGAGCGAGAAGCCTGTTTTCCGCCTCTCTATATGCCTTTGCTATCTATTGGTGACTACGTTACGTGCTGACGTGTTCTGGAAGAATCGAGATCACTTGACGACGGCGACTTCCTGGTTGGCTCCGGCCGGGCAAGGCTCTCCAATATCGACTTGGATGGTAACTTTGTTCGCCCTTTCCCCCACTGTGGCTTGGATTGGGCAATAATTTCTTCGAGTGTTCTCTGAGGCTTTGACTAACACGTACGAGTATTTAATAGGCCTGCGTGAGAATGGAGCACGAGGTTGACCTCCCGTTATCCATCGACCCAACTTTCAGGGCATAAGTACGGGAAATGCTTGAGGCTTGCTTTTTGGATGGGAAACGTCCCAAAGGTTTAAACCATGGAGAAATTGATTGTGGCCCATACCACTCAAAATTGAAAATCGATCCATGAATTAGAGCGATTCAGAACGAGTGGCTTAATGAGCGAGCGATCTTACTAGTTTTTGAAAACGAAGCAAGCACTCTGCCGGTGCCAGTTAAAAAACAGATGGTACGTGTTTATGAGGCAGCATGATTAAGAGCAGGATTGATCCCAAACGATTACAAGAAAGGTTGCTTCATTCACGAAGGAAAGAACCTCGCCACATATATTACAGGGTCAAAGCAGCACGTGGACTGTATGAAAAGCGTGGGGGACGACAGAATTGAATTCGATAACTCGATTTATCGGGTGGAATTTCGCCCCTGCTTACCCCCAAGCGAACTGGAGAAACTTAAGGAAGCAATGAAGTTTGACTTTTTTTTTATCCGCTGCCTCAATGCGCCAGTGACCGTGATCTTTCACCTTCGTTTCCACATTGAGAAAACAATGGGCAAGGTTCTTAAAATGCACGATTATCAACCCAACAAAGATGAACCGTCTATCGCAAATGTTTGTTTTGACCTTGAGTCCATTGTGAGATTTTCCTTTCATAAGTCGTTAACGATTGAACTGTCGGAAGAGGGGGCATTTGTAAAAGGGAGATTTATATTTGTTAATATTATATCAATAGTACAGGCCCTAGAAGTAATTGGTAGAGAAGATAAGGAGGTAGCGGTCTTACTGCTAAATATGGAAAAACCTACAATAAGGGAGGCTGAACTTTCTTATTCACCTCCTTGATAAAGATGGGGTTTGGAGAAGGGTTTTGTATATGGGTAAAGGCAAGGTATACAAAGGCCTCCTCGGTAATGGTGGTGAATGGACAACTCTCCTCGGAGGTTCCCCTGTCAAGATCACTCAGGCAAGGGTGCCCTTTGGCACCATTACTGTTTGTCACCCAACTAGAAGTGTTTTTACACAATATTAGGAGTGATTTTGGAATATTAGGGTTTCACCTCCTACCCTATATTCATTGGAAGGGGGGAGCGATAGCTGACGATTTGACTGTTGCGTGTACTAACAAGAAAGAGTCATTCGACGAATTGAAAGCGATCTTAGACCAATATTGTAATCTTTTTAAAGCAGCCATCCACTAAAACACATTTGTGTACTTCTTGCCCGAGTCTATAATCTGGAGGCAGACTGGGCTCTTTGTCGTATCCCTACTGACATAACTGACCGTTCCTTGGGTATCCAGGTCTCCGTAAAGGATAACTCTCTTACTCAAGATGCAATATTAACAGATAAGGTAGTGACCAGGATCAACGGGTGGGTGAGGAATCACCAATTATCCTTGTTCGGCAGAGCCTTGGTCCTAAGTGTTGCTGCCTTTTCAGTCCTTTGGTTTCCATTGACGGCCCACTTACTGGGAAAGGAAGCATACAGGGCAATCAAGCGTGTAGCAGCGAGGTACCTATGGAAACCGCTTGCTACAGAACAACAAAGCTACATCGTCAAAGTAGCATTGGAAATGATATGTTGTACAAGGGAATCAAGGGATGAAGGGGGTCTGGGAATATTGGACCCTCTTTAGCAAAACATAGCCTTGTTGGTCAAATGATCGGTGACTGCCATGTTCGGGGACACAAATAAATGCTGGCTATGACTGGCAGAGTATATCTTGATGATAGAATGGTCCCTCCAAAAAGGAGCACATGTTTGGCTCTGTTTTCTTATTCCTTCATATTGCCAAAGGAGACTGAAGTCTCAAATTTGGCATAATATTTTGTTAGCTTGGAACAAGATCCGCCCGCAGCTACAGGGAGAACCAAAATTTAGGTGAGAGATCCTAAACCAGATCATTTCTTACAACAGATACATAACTTAACATGAGAGCGGCCCTTTGAAAGAATGTGGCAATTCGGGCTCCTTAGGTAAGACATGGATTCAGCAAGGGGTGATCCAACTAAAAGATTTCTGGGATGAGGAGGCAGCAAAGTGGTTGCCCTTGGAAAGGGTGAGAGAGAAAGTGCCCATAATCAGACAAGTGGAATTGAATTACAACAAAATCCAAAAGGTCACGCCCCGCCATTGGATTTGTGCCGTGCACAAAGACAGCGAATTAACGGCAGGGAGTTGGGTGGAAGACCCGGTGAACAGCAACAGTCATTGGAAAATTTTGGGACCTGACTTAAGGGCGAGCACAAAAGTCCAAAAGTGGATAAAAAGATCAGGGAGATTCAACAAACAGATTATTTGGGAGGAGGAAGGGACAGTGGAAATGACCCATGATCTAGAAGACGTGAGAATGTTCGAGCAGCAGACACAGAAGAACACAATTTGCCTGCTGGTATTGGGGTCGCAGGACAAGGCAGTGGTTGAACCTGTCCTGTATGGGTGAAACTTAACCTTTTCGGACCAGGCGGTCCCTGTATGTAGTTATAGGCCGAAGATTGGTGTCCTAATTCAACGGGAGAAGATCTTGAAGAAGCCGATAATAACAGTTACGCGCAGGTTGACGAAAAGGCAAGTGTTACAGGTAAAGGATACAAACCTCTCTAATCTTTGGAAGGCCTTAAAAGTGATACCTTCTCAAAGACAGGCAGCCTTACAGTGACTTCGATCCTTACAGATAACACCCACCTCAACATGGTTCAATACAAAAGGAATGTCTCTTCCTACGACATGTGTGCAGTGTAATTGGGGATGGGAAACATCGAAGCATTTGTGGCAGTGTTGCCCATTGTCAGACAGGATATGGGAATGGTGGAAAAAAAATTAGAAACTCACTGCTCTTGATACCCACTGGACAAATGATTTCATCCTGCATGGGAAGCTCCCAATCAGAGGCAACCTGTTAGTTGCACCCTGGTTGTTTGAATGAATCTGCTATGTTGTAGCACTGGCAGATAAGATTAGAACGAGACGTTGGTCTTGAAAGGTTAACTGGCAGGTTTTCTATACATATTGTAGGAACTTTGTTTTAAGCAATGTCTTTATAAAAGCCAGGAACCGGGCTCGTCGTCCCTTACAAAGTAGGTGGGGCCCTCAGTGGGCAAGGCATCACCGGCCAAGCTCATCGAGAGCACGACTAGATTTCACCCCACAACCAACTCCACATCCCCAACAACTGGAAAATCAATATCATCAAAATCTAAGTAATCACCAAAAGATGAAAACAATAAGGATTTCACACTGATCTACCCTAATATTTAATGGGAAAGGCCTGCTTTAAGGAAGTTTATTTTGGAAGGATTGTTTGTTGATAAGTCAATAAAGGGACGTTGTACCCGGTTTCCAACACAAGCCTAAGCTGACTAATGGCCCAAAATTCCGGGTTGTTTGTTGAGGTTTTCCTGACCTCTATTTCCATATTTGAAAGACATGCCACCTTTCTTCCAAAAAAATAAAATAAAAAAGTGTCTGGAGGGGAAGTTGGATATGATATGATATGATGGTGGTTCAAACACAGTAGGTACTAACACAAGGTGTAGCACACAGCGTGAGAAGAACACAGTCACCGTGGTGACAGTAGACAAAGTGACAAAGACAAAAGGGGTTACCACTTTCAATCCCACACGCCCAGAAAACCACCGCAATTCCGCACGCCACCCAAGGCGGCAGTTCACCATCGTCACGGTCAACTAAACGCCGAGGGAACCCAGAAGGTCTAAGTACGCTAATGGCTACCTAATTATGGTCTTGGACAAACGGTCGGTCGGGCAAATACCCCTCTCACTGAGGTGGGGTTGTCCGTCGAATCCTGTGGAGTACCGGGAACCACCCAAATGTACCAGGGTCCGATAGGACCAGAATCCAGAAAAACAAACCAGGTCAGATCGTAAGGCCAAGATTCACGGTATCGGATTGTCATGTATAGTCCCTCTACACCTGGTTTAACTATACCCCGTTCCTCATACCAAAAAACATGCTATCAGCCCATCTAATGCGAACCAGGCCTAAAAAATCAATAAACTTTGCTAACTATCTACCAAAGAAACGAACCCTGTCCAAATACATCCAGAACAAACAAATCAATGAACAAATATGCTCAAGTGTCACCAGCCCTGTTCAAATTTCCTGTGTCGCAGATCAGATCCATCGTTCTCGGACATAATCCATCTCTTCTACTACCAAACCGCCGAAACACCTGGTTCACAAACTTCTCTGGGAAATCTTTTTTTTATCAACTCCTGTTGCAAACCCAATATCTTCCCTAGTATCTCTGATCGTATCGAAGTGTTCTGGTCTATACGGTGCATGTGGCTCCCAATTACTGCACTCTTTTGCTTTTTACTTTCCCAAGAATAGAAAGATTGCCCATTCTAAATCCTCAGTTTATCATCACTCCAAATGCTCGATTCATTCCTGGATAACTGCATGCTCTCTAGGAATGGAAAATTCTGTTCGGTATGAATTTAGCATCCAAGGAAATCCAGAGTTCCTGTCCTATATGAGTCGTCGGTCCTTTTTAGTGTCAGGTTTTTTGGGTAGCAGTTCATAAGAGCCTAAAAAATTGTCGTTCTCATAATCTCGTTCTTACTGGAAATCACCAATAAGATGTCATCAATTTATCTCAAAGCTCTAAAGCAACAGCTCAATCGACCCAGAGTACATGTTGTCGAGCACATCGTTCCGGCGCCACTCAGAGGTAGCGTGGGACCCTCCCGGGCGCATCAAGCAGAAGTCAAAATACATGTTCTCTTTGCGACACATATGTGGAGCTTCCGTAAGCGCTCCGGCCGGGTGCGCCAGCCATACCTCTCGCGAGCCCCTACGACAGGACAGGGCCTACGCGAGGCACGACTACCTCCACCTTACAGGAGTTGTCACCTCCCTTCGGTGGGCGTATCCCCGCTGAGCTACCAGTCCACAGTACGAAAGTTGATCAACTGCAATCGCAGAGGTGGACCAGCCGAGGGCGTTTCTCGTTCGCTGTAGCATAAGGGGTACACGCGGTACTACGCCTCTATCGGCCCCGCATGAGAACCGACATCTTGGGGGGCTGAGGTCCCAAGCGCGGCTCGTCGCCGGTCGACTAGGACGTATCCCACACGCCACGCGCACACCACTATAAGGTACATAAAAGTAACGCACACGCACACACGCACACAAGTACTAAACAACGCAAAGGATGTATAACGCGACACACTCCTAGTCCCTTTGTATCCAACCCATAACTTTACGCAATGGAAGTCAATAATTGCCGTACGCGAGGTTTAGTATAAGATCGCTCGATTCGCTATGCAGCTCTACGTGAGTAACTGCGTTGACGGCGCATTATGTGGTGTCCATACCCGAATGGCCTATTCTGAGCCATGCGGTTGCTTCTGATGCTCAGGCGTCGGCCTGAGGGCTTTACCGCCTTCTGCACCCTGAGGTGTCCCAAAGGGTGCGGGGTAAGACAGGCCCCAGGGCAGGAAGGGATTTGGAGCGGTGGTGAGTTGTCTGACGCATCACCAGCGACACGCTGACCCTTCTGCCCGGAACTTTATCATTCCACCAAAATAAGTCCCAACAAGGAAAATACCTTCGACTTTTATCGGAAATGAACCTTTTCAGAGCTAGTCCTGGGACCTGGGTCGTCCTGGGCGAGGACCATCGTATTCTACGCTCAGGGCTAACGTCCGATCACAACCTCTTCAGGAGCGTATATATATATAGAGAGAGAGGGGTCATCCTTTCTCTACTAGCCCAACCCCTGATTAACTCCTTAGCACGCGGGCCCCTCACGCTACACAAGTACCCTACATAGGTACGCATACATACATATATACACACGTATAATCTCGTTCTTATTGGAAATCACCAATAAGATGTCATCAATTCATCTTAGAGCTCTAAACCAACGGCTCAATCGACCCAGAGTACATGTCATCTGGTACTCTGAATATGCACACATGATGCATGCGATTAGGGGGCTCATGCTTTTCCCCATCGGAACACCCAATTCTTGTTTCAATAGGATTCCCGTAGCATAACAGAACGTATGATCAACTTCAATATGTACAAATTTTAAAAAATATCGTTCAGGTCAAAACGTTTCCAGTGATCCGCACCCGTGGTAATTCCGAAGGTCGCTCCCTTCCCACAGGTATTAACCCGAATTGAGTCAAAACCCTTGGTCCAGGAGTAACCAACAATCCAATCCACTGCTTGTAACAGTACCCTGTGAGGCAATTTACTAAACATTTCCTAAACATCGAAGGAATATGAGTTTACCACTCGATCACCACCAAGTTTTCTCAGTTTTTTGTTTATGCCATCCAATCGTGTCGTCAGGTCCGAAACAAATCGCACATTAAAGTGCCACTTTCTGGGCAAATTATAAAGCAGATGATTCAGAGCTTTACTCATCAGGCGAGCAATTCGAACCATCGGTTCCATGAACGAAGGGCAAATCGGTCTGAATCGGCCTAAGTCCTTGTTCTTTGGAATGACATAGGCGGCGCCAAACGTCCCCTTAGCATCCATTGAACATCCTTCCCCATATTGTGTCGACTTACATCTTCTCTTAGCTCACGCATAGCTTCAACTTCGAAATAGTTGATGATGGTATCCCGGGTTGCAGACAAAGGTGTGCATCATGACGTCGAAGTAGGTGTCAAGGCACATTGCTACAAACTCGCTTAAATTCCTATCTACTGGGGTTATCACTAGTCCATCCAGATGATCCTTCAGGGCCAGTACATCCCTTCGTGAGATACAGTGAGACATCTGATCGTTACTTGAAATACAGGTGGACAAATCCAAATCGGAGCAATCTGGTACGAATCCATCCAGATTCTTCCAGCACTGGAATCCAGCGCCGATTTCCTCCTGCAGAAGGTTACGTGTATCAACACACTTGACTTTAGGAATATCATTCGAATTCGATAGGTGTGGGTGCAAATCAGCTACCTCACTCAGTCGAAACATTACATGGTCGTTCGCATGAGGGAAAACCATACCTGCACAATTACAGATAAGCACACCATACGAAAAAGTTCTCCTTTGGTTATGCAACAAGTCAGCAATCGTAGGATTTTTTGTCCCTACGATGCGAATGTTTCTCCGTGTGCGAAGTATAAAACACTGTGGCAAAGGACATCTCATCAGTGCGTCGTTGACCACCTTCCTAACCTCTGAGATCACAATTTTGTCGTCGTATCTTATCCGAAAGGTAAGATGAGAAGCCAAGCTCAGGTTAGATCGGTCCCGAAAACATCGAGAAACCAGACTTCGCAGATATTTCCGAGAAGATTTCTTGGAAAAATCCTTAATCACCCGGTATATTCTTAGGATTATTTTCATCCCCCAACCGTACAACTCTTTCAACTTTTTGGGATTCCGTAAGATGCCAATCAGAAGCTTTTTCAGATACTTATATTTCGCCTTCCACTTGACTACGTGTATAATCTCAAACTCACCACCACTCTCCCACAACTCTTTGCATTCCCTTAACGGTCGGTAGACGTTGTCATATTTAATCTTACTTTCCACAAGCATACGAGTCAACTTTTTTCATTTGGGGGTCCAATCCGTACCTTCATCAGATCTAACCCGTCGAGGGAGATTCTCTGAGACAAGGGAATCATCCCAAAAAGCATAAAGGTCCAGGAAATCGAAATCCTTATCCAAACATCGAAAACGTACGTGGCGGGTTCCTCAACTCATTCTTGGTTCGGCTCCTCTCATTACGTCTCAGTTTCCACTTCCCATGCTTCTTCGAAGTCTTAGTTCCGACAAAATTCAGGAAAGGTGACCATCTAGCGATGTACAACTCCTCCAATCTATTCAAATCCTGACCTCCAAACATGTCGACAGGAAGCAAAACATAGTTACCCACTCCAAAAGAAGAAATCCAGCGATGGAAATGAGACTGCGTACGTCTACGATCGACATACAGGTGTTCACGCCATCTGATATCACAAGTACGCGTGGTCTTACCTACGTAACTTTGCTTACAGTAAGGTGAAATAGCTACATACACAATCCCCTCCCTGTTTAGGAAATCACTCCCATATTGCTCATACATGCAAATCCAAGAAGCTTCATGCCTCTGTGGCCATCTTGCCTGTTTCGTCAAAGCTAGCAGAACAACGATTAATCGTAGCAATTTCTTCAACTTCCGGTCATAATATACCTGATAGCATCGTTTACCAGTGATATACCTGCAAACTTCCAACCAACTTGTGAAAGGTATATCACATCACTCTTGGTTCTCACCAGATGCTTCTGCTTCCACTTCATTTGAGTCACAAATACGGATGACCTCCGAAGTTGGGATGATGCAGGGAAACTGCAATTGAGCGCGGTGCTCGGCAAGATAAAAAATGACATCGATCTTGCCTATGTACGAAACGCCTTCCTCTTTGCAAAATTGTTGCAGCTCGTCGGCATTGCAATCTTTTAGTTCCCTCATAATGGAATCATGAAACCGCATGCGTGTTAATGACTTACCAGCTGAAGTCAACCTTCCACGTGGTGGAGTCTGCTTTCGATTCTTCGTAAGCTTCGACATAGGAGTCTTGATTGGCATACGCTTCTTCGCTCGAATAGGAGTACGTGCACCTTTTGTTCGCGCTCTGGTCACGCGATGACTCTGTACATCCAGTCTGATACCACCACGTATCGGAGTTCGTTTTGGTGGTGCCTCCATTGGGGGGCTGTCTTCGATCGGCACGTCCTCTACTCTCTTCCTCTTCTCGGTAATGCATAAACGTCCGGTCTTCTCGCTCAGTTCTTGTGTCACGCTGGTCTCGCTCCCTTCGCTGCTGTAATCTGTCTCACTCTCGTCCTCCGGCTCCTGTTTTACTTGCTTCTTCCCTTTAACGTCTCGTCCGCCTCCCGCCTTTAACGGAAGGACTGAGGTCTTCCATTGCTGAATCCAACCATCCTTGATCTCCCTCATCAACATAGCTGCATGTAAGGTAACATCCTTCTTCATCTTGGCTTTTAGGGCGACAACATGCTTCGCCTTCTTTTCCTTTTTCCGTTTCTTCGCTTCCCTCCGTAACTCCTCCTGAGCCAATCTGGCTTTTTCTTCTTCTCTCCTTACTCTCTCCTCCTCTTTCACCCGTTCCTTCTCGGCCTTCCGACGAGCTTTCTCGTCCTTCTTCGATTGTACTTGATCAAAGTGCTCCTTGATTGTTGCCACGCCCTTTGGTTAGTCACGTAACTGTGCTTTTTTCTTCGGTGAAGGGTAGCTCCTTCGGGCTTCAAACTTCCTTGGTGAACGCGACCGTCTGGAATCTGTCGATGTAGAAGGCCGGCTGGGATTATATCGCCGGTCCCGATGTGGACACTAGTTGGCGTAATGGCCCAGCTCATGACAATTGAATCTCTCTCTATCTTCGTTGTAGCGCTCCAAGCTCGACATCTTCGGTACGCTGGCTGTCGGACTTCAAAAAACTTCCGTAGTCAAACCTAGCTCCACTGTTGTTCACAGCTATGTACAAAAATGAGGGCTGCTCCACATAGTCAACGCGCCATCTCACACGCTCAAAACCCACTCCAGGTAGTCAACCACGTCAATCCAATATGGAGTACGACGAGGTATCGGTTAATGACACTCACTTGAATCCGACAGGCTTCCCCAGATAAGTTCACGTATGCTGTATAGGATATGATGGTGGTTCAAACAGAGTAGGTACTAACACAAGGTGTAGCACACAGTGTGAGAAGAACAAAGTCACCGTGGTGACAGTAGACAAAGTGACAAAGACAAAAGGGGAAGTTGGCCCGATTCATGAAAATGTTAGGTGAGTCCGAATGTATCCAGCCCAAGATACAGTGAGTGAGTGAGAACAGCAGAGCCAGCATGTAGTCTGACCGTCATGCAAAAAAAAAAAAAAAAAAAAAAAACATAACTGCAATTACCGCGGCGCAAATATGTGAAGAAATCCGAAGTGCGGCATGAACAGTGGGCTATCTTTAACCTTTATGCCCCTACTTCTCAAACAGACAGAGTCGACCTTTTCAAATCATTGACATGGACAATCCCCGGTGTGGACAACCTCATACTGGGAGGGGATTGGAATACAACGCTGCTACCAGGCGTTGATTCAATGCGACCAGGCCCGACCGGGAACGACGCTGTGCAACTGGCCAATTTCACCTATGCCAACGGATTCTTCGATTTGTATCGAGTGCTGCATCCCTTTGATAAAGGATTTACCTTTTTCTCTGCTGGGGCTCCTCGCCAACAATACCTGCCTAGGAGCCGAATCGACTTGTTTTTTGCAGCCGATGTCTTGTTGCCTAGACTATCGAGATGCTTTGTTGTACCATATGCTGGATCAGATCATATGCCAATTTTTTTGGAGCTTTTTCTTCATGTTTCTATACGAGTAGGTAGAGATAGGATAGCGTTGCCTGAATGGGTGGTGAGGACAAAGGAATTCTCACAATTAGTTCACGAGTTTTGGCCCAAGTGGAGAACGACTCAAAATCTTTTTCCCTCCTTGGCCGATTGGTTCCAGGGAGGCCAACGAATAATTTTGCGGAGAGGGCTATCCATTAAGAACTCAATTCGTTTGCTTAATCGCTCAGAACTGTGGAACATAAATGACGAGATGGCGGGTCTGCAGCGTCTAGCGACGACAACAAACAGTCCGGGCGAGGAGCAAATCCTCATTCTCCGAACGGAAGAGCTTCGACAGCGCTGGGTGTTACGGACTCAACCAGCAATGAGGAATGTAATTCATAACAAAAGAATAGGTTGGTTGGTGAAAGGAAACCATATGATCTCTTCATTTTTTGTTGCTCACCGTCCGCCCCGGAACCCGCAGCTCATAACGACTATCAAGCACCCGTTTGATGCTTCGGTGCCACTGACCACAGAAACTCGAGCGATCGTCCTAAATATTTCCATATTTTATGAAAGCTTGCTCACATCACAAGCGCAATACACGGAACAGCAACTGCTCCAGCAGTTTCATGAAGAAGTCTGGTCAAAAGTGAGTAACAAACTGTGGGACCGCCAACAGCAATCGCTGGAGGCTGATGTTCTCATGCAGGAACTGGTGGACGCCATATCGTCACTTGCATGCCATAAAGCACCCGGACTCGATGGCTTACCTGCCCAGTTTTTTCTTGGGTTCTCATTACACCTGCTGCCAGAGCTGCCGATGATTTGTCAAAGTGTCTGGAACGGAGCGTCTTTGCCTGCTTCAGCATTGCAGGGTGTCATTACTTTCGTCTTCAAAAAAGGGGATCGTACTGACATCACGAACTATAGGCCTATCACGCTTATGCCTGTGCTGTATAAAATCCTCTCAAAAATACTGACTGCTAGGCTACAGAAAGTGCTCCCGTCCCTGATACATCGAACCCAGACAGGGTTCCTTCAGAGCAGACAAATTTTACATAACGTGATGGTAGCAGAGCAATTGGCCGAGTTAGTGGCATCTGGTGAGGAGAGCCTGGCCATCATTCTGTTGGACCTGGCAAAGGCTTATGATCGTGTGGGCTGGAAGTTTTTGCAAGCAACACTTACAGTCTTCGGATTTGGCCTGAATTCAAACACGTTGTTGATAGCCTTTTGCAAAATGCCACCTCTCAGATCTGTGTGAATGGGGCCCTGTCAGCCCCGATTAAATTAAGTAGATCAGTTAGACAGGGGTGTCCGGTGGCGCCCTATTTGTACCTACTGTATGTAGAGATTATGCACATTATGATTAGATCGAATCCAGAGATACCGGACTTTCTTCTTCCCTCAGGAGAGCAATTGAAGTCGGAAGCGTTCGCAGACGATTCTGTTGCCTTTTCCCCTTTGACTGACCAAGCCTTTTTTGCACTGAGGAACACCATAGATCTGTTTTGTCATTTGTCACAAGCCTAAGTCAACTGGTCCAAATCTTCCGTCTTGATACCCCCCGGTCAACAGCTGCCGCTCAACTGGGGACTCAGGATGGTGTCCCCGACTGCGCATGAAAGACTGTTAGGTCATCAGTTGTCTTTCGACCCGCGACTGGTACAAGACCCGGCGACCGCTATGGCGGGTCTGAGAGCAGCGCTGCAGCCATGGGTCAAGTACAAGGGAGTCAGCTTATTCGGCCGAGCCTTGGTAATCAATAATGCAATGCTGTCCACATTGTGGTACCGCAGATCCATGCACCAGCTTGATCCATCGTCGCTCCAAACGATACGTCATCTGCTAACACACTATTTTTGGAAAGAAGAGATTAATACTGACAACTTCCTGCCAAAAGTTGCATGGCAGACCATCACCCAACCCAACCGCAAAGGGGGACTGGCAATCCTGGACCCGGAACGACAAATCAATGCGCTTCTCGCGAGATGGGTTCCGTGGGCCATCTCGGAAAGCCCTTACTCGGCATGGCGACAGCTCGCCGAATACTCGTTGTTTTCCGTGTTGGACTGGACAGATCTCAGATGTATATGGTTGACGGTTCTCAACCCTGATTACCACCGCAAAAAGCTGCCCCCTGGTATATGGGCAGGGATACTGAAAGCATGGAGAGGACTTTGCCCCGAATTGCAACCCCCTCCCCTGGTCTTTGAGCGGCTGATGACGCAGCCCTTATTCAACAATCCTTTTCTGCTAAACCTGCAGGGGTACCCTTTCAGATGTTTTGGACCACGAGAATTCGGGAATGCATGGATGGCCCGAGGGATAGGAACTATTGCCGACATTTGGGATTTGGAGACTGCTGACTGGAAATCTGCAGAATTGCTGGCCCCTAAACTTTCGGGACTGTGGCACCAGGCTGAGCACTTGGAGCAGCTGAAAAATGCTGTTCCCCAACACTGGGAGCAGACGTTGAGAATGGGACTCAGGCTGCTTAAAGGAATGTGGTATAAAAGAGCACAACAGCTGACGCCCGATTGCATTTGGAGAACAGAGGACTATTCGGACGTGGTTGAAAGCCCTAGTACCTGTTGGCAGGTGCGAGGAGGAGTTGACTCGCTGGGAGAACCTCTGCAATTCTCAGAGGAGCAGTTCCCTCTCCCCCCTGCAGATCAATTGGCACCGGTTTGTGTATTGGAACTTACGCAAAGCTATAGGCCTTTCTTCCTACAGACGGCTCCATACAACTTATCGGTCGATCCAAGAGATTGGGCGTGGAAGCACCCGTTACGTCCTGATGAAATGGTAAGCTTAACAGAATACACAACAAAACTCGGCTACCTCTTGATGACGCCATCAACAGACATTAACTGGACAGTGGCTCGAAGATGGATGGCAACAGGTTGGGTGGCAGATACTGTGACACGACTGGCGGCAGCACTTCCAGCCTTCTGGAAGCAGCTATTGGATTTGGCGGTGATGAAACATTCAAGCCTGCTCTGGTTGCTCATGCACCTGGCATTGCCGGTCAACACTTGGTGTGCAAGAAGAACCGTCAAGGCCGAACCGGAGTGTCAATTTTGCCCAGGGACCCGGATGGAGGACATTCAACATTTCCTGTTGCAGTGTGAGCTCTCCAGGCCACTTTGGGAATGGTGGCGACAATCGGGAGTGCCCATCCCGGGGGCGGACTCCCGTTGGGAGGACAATTCCATTCTAACAGGGACCGCCGCTAGGAAGACGAGACCCCAGTTACAATATGGACATGCGGAAGAGACCATCAGAGGTGCCATATTATGGACTCTCTGGAATCTCAGGAATGCTAGGATTAGAACAAACGAGCATTTGACGCCACCAATGGTCAGAGCGGAGATTAAATATTCTGTCAAATCTGCCATCTCGGCAGACTGGGAGTATCGTGTCCTAAAAAAGGGTTGCTCGGCCAAGGCTGTCAAGTGGTTTGGGAGTAGATGGGGAGCTTTCTCGGGCCTGGTCACCATGGATACACAGCTAGATGGTTTACCAGTGCTGCGATTCTCTGCTTTCTTCGTTTAGTCTTTTTAGCTTTCTGTAGCCTTGTTTAGCTTTGTTTCGCTTTGCTTTTTGTATTGTTTTCGCATTGTTACTCTGTATAGCACATTGTTTTAGGCTCACCAGACCCTCTGATGTTAGCCGTGGATCAATTGTAGTTTAATTGTAGTTGAATTGTATACACTGTATATCTTTCCTGTTTCGGGAGACATGTAATGGATGGCTGGTAGGATAGTAGGTAGGAAGGGGCAAATGGGAATAGCTTGCCTCATTGCTTCATCAGATTGCTGTAGTTTGTT